CTCATCCCACTTGAATTCTCTATTTCCTTTCAACAACTGATAAAACGGTAAAGCTTTGTCCGCTGACTTACTAATGAAGCGGGTCAGCGTTGCCATCCTCCCTATCAGGCGCATAATGTCTTTGGTGAATTTAGGCTCTGGGAGACTGAGAATTGCTTCTACTTTCTCAGGGTTGGCATCAACTCCTCTTTTGCTTACCATGAAGCCGAGGAATTTTCCTGAGCTCACCCCAAAAACGCATTTCTTTGGGTTCAACTTGATGTGATACTTGTTCAGCGTGACAAATGTTTCTTCCAGGTCTAAAATATGTCCTGCTTATGTGATGCTTTTGACAATCGAGTCGTCTACATACACTTCTACATTTCGCTCTTTCTGGTGGATGAACACTCTATCCATTTTTTTCTAAAACGTGGCCCCTGCGTTCTTCAGCCCGAAGGGCATAGCGATGTAATTGTACACTCTCCCTTTGGTGATGAATGCAGTTTTCTGCCTGTCTGGTTTGTGTAGGCTGATTTGGTGGTACCCTAAAAAAGCATCCATTAAGCTTAGCAATACGTTCCCACTTGTTCCATCTAATAACTGATCAATCCGCGGCAGCGGATAACAATCTTTTGGGCATGCTTAGTTGAGATCTGTGAAATCAACGCACATTCTCCACTGGCCGTTTGCCTTCTTCATCATGACTACATTGGCTAGCCACTCTGGGTAATCACATGGTTCTATAAATACAGCCTCTAGTAACTTATCCACTTCTTTTTGTATGGCCTGATTTTTTCTACAAAGAAGCTTCGTTTTTCTGCTTAATTGGCCTGACCTCTTCCTTCACATTCAGCCTGTGGACCATGACCTCTAGGTCAATTCCAGGCATTTCATCTGCTGAAAATGCAAAGATGCTTTTATTTCTCCTTAGCAACTCTACGAGATTCACTCTTACTTCTGGTTCAATGTCTTTTGCAACTTTCACTTTCCTGGAGTTGTCTCCCTCTGTGAGCTCAATTGCTTCATGCTCACCGCTGGGTAATGGTCTAGCTGCCTCTTCTTTTGCAGAATTAAAGTTTTCCATGGCCAATTTTTATTTGTCCTTTTCTCTACGGTATTCTTCTCGTTTTCTCTTCCGAGATTTTCTTTCACTCTAACCCTCTTGCTTCCTCTCCGAGCTGGGCTGCAGTTTTGCCTTAGCTGGCTGCTTTAGGGGTGTGATGTATCACTGTTGTGCTGTCTTTTGACTTCCTCTGAGCTTGGCGGATCTTCCATCATTGGCAGTGTAGGCCATAGCTAGATGATAGGTAGAGACTAACCCTCCAATCTTGTGAATGAGTGGCCTTCCCATAATCACATTGTAGGGTCAGGGTGAGTCTATTATTAAGAACTCAGCCCGAATGTCACGTCGCCTGGATCCCTCCCCTACTCGGACTGACAGCTCCATTATACCTTCTGGTATAAGGCCTTATCCATTGAACCCGGTGACTTCATAGCTCACCCTTTTCAGGTCCTTTTTGTCAAGTTTCAAATCCTTAAACGTCCTGATGAAGATTATGTTGGCCGAGCTGCCACCATCTATCAATACTCTGTCCACCTCCCAGTTTGCAATTCTCACTGTGACTACTAGGGGGTCATCATGAGGATAGATTATGCCTTTTTGGTCATACTCATCGAACACTGCTTGTGGTTGCGGTGGTAGGGGCGGCCATTTACGTCTTTCATTGTAGTTTATTTGATGAATCATTGCTCGCAAGTCAGCTCTTGCTCTATTCACTGTTCCCCCATGCACTGGTCCACCGCTGATCACATATACCCTGCCTTCTGGCTTGTTGTCTCGATCTCTACCTTCACCCTGATCCTTTTGACCCATTCTGCTGGGTCATAGCCTGACTTATCCTCCTCTCTTCGTCGGCTGTAGTCAGAGTGCTGCTTGAACTAGTTCAGGTATCCATGCCAGATTAAATACACTATGTTGTCCTTCAGGTATGTACATTCATCGGTGGTATGACCATGATCTTTGTGGAAGTCGCACCACTTGCTAGGGTCACGGTTTCTATTCACCATTCTGGGTGGTCTTTGCCACTTGTCATCAGCTTTATTCACGCTGAAGATGTGGGACCTTGAATGAGTAAGCAGAGTGCATTGCTCGAACTTGCCAGCTCGTGCTCCTCGTCTGTGGTCAGTTCTCCTAACCACTCACCTATCTGCATCCCTTTAACCTTGCTAAGCCTTGATTGGTTGATCCACCCTGGCTGAATTCTCAGCCCGGGTGACTTCAGCCCGCTTGACTAGGTTGTTTGGTGCTCTCTTACTCAACATGGCTTTATCAGTCTCATCTGCCTTTATGAACTCGTGAGTTTTTCCCAGCGCTTCAGCTAGTGTCTTGAGACTCTTTCGTCCCATGTATGCTCTAAATGGTGAGCCGGGTAGGGGACCGCTCTGCATGGCCAGCAGGGCTACCTCCTGGATCATATCTGGGATTGTTGTTTCCTCCTTGTTGGACTTGGTACTGAAGTCCCTCAGGGGCTCCTCCTTCCCCTAGACTAATGACATCAGCTCGGTAGTCATTTTGGTTCAATCTACCAGCGTGAAAAAGTGTTCCATGAACATCCTCTTCAACTAGTTATAGGAGTAGACAGATCCCTTCGGGTTGGCTCCACACCACTCGACAGCTAGTCCTTCTAAGGTTGGGGGAAATGCCTTACACCAAACCAAGTCAGTCATAGTATACAACACCATGTGGTTTTCAAACGCTGAAACGCGATTCTTAGGTGTTGTTGTACCATTGTACTTACAGATGGGCATCTTGACCTTCTCCATTGGCTCTTCCAGAATCTCCATGCAAAATGGGGAATCATCCGGAATAACCTAGAGCCGTGCACGCTTTCCCCTGTCTTGGATTGGCCCTCGTTCTGAGATTGGAGATCGCTGCGAGTGACTCATGCCTCCGGGTTGCCTTTGTCTGCTACTGCATTTTCTCGCCACTCCTGATTTAGATTACGAGCTTCCAGCTCTAGCACTTTCTTCCTCAACTAGATCAATTCCTTCTACTCCGAAGCTTCTTGGCCACTGGCTCTAAAGCAGTAGCTGCTGATGCTGAACTTGTTCCTCCGTCGAAGTTAGTAAGTACTACCGTCATTGCCGCCAGTTGCTCTTTGCTACACTTATAAAGGCTTTGGAGAATGGCCGACATATTGACAGGCTGAGATTTTTGGGTTACAGGTGTTTAGATGATAGGTTCATTATTCAGACATGTCACTGGCATTCCAAACTTAAATGAAGAGTTGGATCCCATATCTACTGGTTTTACCATATCTTTTGTCATACCTAGTGTTGATCCGACGGGATTGGTTTTATGGGATATATTTGATTAGGGTTTTTCGCTTGATCCTTTAGGATCTATAGTTATTGATGCTGTTTTTTGTGGTGTCTGATTAGTCTCAGTGGCTTTTGAGACTGGTGTTTGCGTCGCTTCCTCTCCAGCCATGGCGGTTAACCAGCCAGTCCTTGTTCAGTTAGCGAACCTAAGGTTGAGATAATCCTTTCCCCTCCTTCTAACGCCGATTGTTCTGGCCACGGATCTAGGGGGTTTAGACTGGGGCAGGTTGGGTCCAGCTGGTAACCTACACAAGGAAACACACGTGACTGCCCTCAGGGGTGGCTCGAGGAACCCCCCTCCGATACTTAAGTTAGGATGTGTTTAGACAGAGAAAGTGTACTTAGAGAGATAGAGAGAATGTGACAACTTGTGTGTCTAACCTCTTTTCCGTTGTACTTGAATCCTTATTTATAGGTGTACGATCTCCTTTGGGTGGAGTCATACTTGGTTAGCCTGCGGGCTGGCTCTATCGGGCTGGTGAGCCCCTCTGAGTGTTCTTCCAGCGGTGAGTGCGCACCCCGTAAGCGAAGCTGGGAGCCTGGTGATAGGTTAGCAGGAGCTATCCCATACAAATACAACAACGAAAATATCCAAATACGGCTGGAATATTCTATTTATAAGGTCCATGAATGCCGCTGGTGCATTAGTGAGTCCGAAGGGCATGACGGTGAACTCATAATGGCCATATCTTGTACGAAAAGCCGTCTTTGGTATGTTTTCCTCCGCGATCCTCAACTGATGATATCCCAATCGTAAGTCAATCTTTGAGAAGATACCATCACCATTAAGATGTCAAACAAATCTTCAATTCTCGGCAAGGGGTACTTGTTCTTTATTGTGACATTGTTCAATTAACAATAATCAATGCATAACCTTAAGGAACCGTCCTTCTTTCTTACAAAAAGTACCAATGCTCCCCATCGTGAGACACTCGGCCGTATATAGCCCTTTTCAAGCAAATCTTCCAATTGTACCTTAAGCTCTGTCATCTCCGCAGGTGCCATTCGATATGGTGCCTTGGAAATCGGTCCAGTTCCAGGTACCAAGTCTATCTTGAAGTCCATCTCCCTAACTGGTGGCATCCCGGGGATTTTGTATAGAAATACATCTTGGAAATCTCTTACCACAGGAATCTGTTCTATCGTCTTCTCCTCTATACTCACATCGTTGACATGACACAGATAAATAGGGTAGCCTTTTCTAACATAAGAGGGGAAAGTCATGGCAGAAATAATATTGATTCTAGGTTTGAAACGACTCCTTGGTATGAGATCCTATTCCCTCTTGGCCCTCCAAGTGATATTTTTTGGTTATGGCACTCAATCTTAGCCTTGTACTTGCTAAGGCAATCCATCCCCATGATGACATCAAAGTCAGACAAGTCAAGCTGGATAAGGTTTGCAGGTAACTCAGTTACAGCTATGTTAATAGGAATGTCTTTAAAAAGAGACCTACAAAGTACGACTTCTCCTAAGGGTATGACTATGTTGGCTTGACACAAAGATGTGGTTTTCAATCTAATTTTATTTACAAATGAAGTGGCTATAAAAGAATGGGATGCTCCAGAATCAAAAGGCAAATAGGCATGTTTAGAGTTAACGAGGAAAGTACCCGTCACAACATTGCCGCTGTTGTTGGCTTAATTTTGATTCATAACAAAGATTCTTCCGTTGCTAATCCTTCCATTTCCATTGTTTCGACCATTATTGTTGCCTCCGGCATTGACATTGTTGTTCTTGCCATTATTACCTCCTTGAGAATTAGCACCTTGGTGTGGGGCATTGTTGTTGTTGAAGCGATTATTATAGTTGAAATTCCTTCCAAATCCGCCTCCATTATTTCCATTGTTGTTTCCTTGACCCGCTTGACCTTGCCCTTGACGATTGATATTCTGCTTCCTTAGGCAATCGCGTTCCTTATGTCCAGGTTCTCTACACTCATAACAGGTAATTGGGTCACCCTGACAATTGTACCCTGGATGAATCTTATTGCACCTTCTGCAAGGACGAGATCCTTGTTGAACCTGTTACCCCTGTCCCCGAAAATTGGTGCGATTATTGTTGTTATTACGGCCTCCTTACTGACCATTTCCACTATTCCCATGACTATTACCCCTAAGACGAGGTTTCTTGTCATATCCTTGGTGGTTTGATGAACTCTTACCATTCCCTTTCCTCTTATGCCTATCTTTGACCTCCTGCTCACGTCTCAAAATCCTTTCGATATTGCAAGCTCTATCATATGCCTCCTTATAAGTAGCAGCAGTACCAGCCCCAATCACCTTCTTTTGGATCCTAAAAGTCAACCCATCTTCAAACTTCTGAGCCTTGGCTCTCTCATTAGGCACTACATTAGGACAAAATCTAGCGTACTTATTAAATTTCTCAGCATACTCTTGCACACTCATACCAACAGTTTGGTTAAACCTACTAAACTCACTATACTTTTGTCTTCTAATGTGTTTCGGAGAAAAATCAATCCTTGATGGCTGTTTAAATACCTCCCATTTAAAGTTTTCTTGCGCCCTAAAGACAGAACCCTCGTTTTCCCACCAAGTATCAGCATTCTCACGCAAGTAAAAGGTAGCTTGGTCAACCTTTTGAGCTTCAGGGGTACCGGCAACAGTAAAGATTTTGTCAAAGTCTCGAACCCAATTTTCAACTAACATAGGGTCTTCCTTTCCCATAAAGAGTGGGGGTTTGAGTGTGGCCAGTTTCTTGGCCATGGCAGCCTGTGGATCATTTTCACCATTGTTGTTGTTAGCAATTTGATTTTGGAGAAATAACCCAATGTTTTAGTTTAGTTGCTCAAGTGACCTTAATCTTGCAGCCACTTGTTCGGGCGTTTCAACCATTTGTTCGATTCGTCGTCTGCATGGCCTTGTGTAGTTGTGTATACAGTAAAGTTTTGCATACATAACCTGAAAAAATAATGGTGCTACCACCATAACACATTTAGACGCGTTTTGTGTTACAACTATAAGAAATTGCAATTTGTACTTATGGTTTGCAAATAAGATCGTAATCATAGTTCATATTCATCAATGTAATCATTCTAATCATCTTCATTTAGGAGAACATAAAGTCATAACATAAATACTTAGCATAAGTTCTTAACTAAACAAATGGCCTAGTGGCCTTATTTGCATCATACTATCTATATACATGCATCACCAAGATCTAACATTAACTACTCCTCCATCACAACATCTCCATTCACTATCATAGGGTTAGGTGGGACTGGGTTACTATGAACTTCTTCCCCATTAAAATCATCATCGGTTGAAGAACTCCTATTGTAATCATACTCTTGGGCAGTGTCAATCATTATTTTCTCCAAGTATTTAAGGGTAAGAAACCAATGACCCTTGTACCTATAACGCCTTGAGTTTGGCTTCCCATAGAGTATCACATTCGACTACTTCCTTTTGATATTCCCTAATGGGCCCCTGTCAGGCAATGTGTAAAGGAGGACACGGGCTTGTCTAGCCGAGGTCATAAAATCAGAATCTCCAAAGCATTCATTAAGATGGTAACTTTCCATAGCTACTTTTAGATGATTAACATATGATCGAATGTCTTCGCCATATCTCATACGAATGCCATAGGGTGAGTTAGGGGCGGCAAATGGGGTCTATCTTGCCACACTCTATCTTGCCGTGCACATCCTTCGAACTATCTATCAAAAGAAAATAATCAAATAATAAGTACTTTCTAAGAAGATTACTTGCAATTTAACACATAAATCCCTTAACGCATTCCCACACTCACGACTTATTACCTTAGAATATTATTTACAAATTTTAATCATAGCTTAATCTATTTTACTAATCCCAATTTTAGTCCTAACGAACCTGGGCTTTGATACCAATTTGTAACACTGCCAAATTTGAACCCTTTTTATAATAATCAAAACCATATTTTTATTGAGAATCGTCGTTCGAACTTTGGGAGTGTTACTAAGAGGCATAAGAAAGTTCGATAAAAACAAACAATAAACTATTGTACTTTAACTTGGTCTAAAACAAGTATAACTTATTACAACCCAAACTTGACGTAAAACGTAAACCAATAGTATATTAAGTGGTGACAAAGCTAAAAAGTCTTATTCTACATCCTCACTCGAATCAACTCGTCTTACTAACCTGCAAAAATAAATAAGAAACACAAAGGGAAAACTCCAAAATCAGAAAAATTGAGTAATTATGACTCCATCCCGTAAAATACATATTTTTGTTTTGAAAACATATTTAATAATTAAGTTAAAATAATATGAAACAATAAAATCAACTTTAGACTTTACACACACTAACAAACAAAATACTCTATATAGATTACATATTTAAGCTTATATTTAAGAGAGGGAAAGAGAACGCTAGTAGGCCGGGACTAATCCCAAAGTAACCACCTACTTGTGATGGGTTGCGCATCACCCTATTTTGGCCAAGTATATGTTCTTCCCAGCGTGCACACCCCTCACTAATCTAATGGGTAACCGCAATTTACCACGCACCAATAGTATTAGGAGGAAGACTTATGAAAGATAGTTGATAGAAAATGTAGTACCAAACCTGCTAGAAGCCTATTGGGTATCCACATATGTGCACCAATAGAACAACATCTAGTAGGGCAACCTGTTCTTCACCCTTTTGGGGTTTCATTTCCCTTCTTAATTTATTATATTTTAAATTCCTCGCAGACAAACATTCAATCATGTAATTCATATATGAACCATAACTATACTTTTTAAAAATTATAGTACCCTAGTCATTCGTTCAAATTAAGCAAGTATCATAGTATGTTGTATAAAATCATCGTATCAAAACATCACATTCGAAACCAACATTCCCAAAGTATAATACCAAAAATAATTCAATATTATCAGATACGAAGATATTAGTAGTAATAAGAGTATTACCATTCACTTAAATGAAAATCGTTTATAAATTTTATAGCATAAATTACATACTTATAATTTATTCATATAATACATCTATCACATAGTCGCATCAAAACGATTTCCTAACAGAATTTTAAGTTCTTGATGAACATCGAAAATTACCTTAAAAAGCGTGTTGTTCTCGAACCGCGTAGAATCCAAAACTAGTACCCTTGACCGTTGTCTATACAACCTCCGTCTACAAGTTAACCACAAAATAAACCTTCAATTAAACTCTTATTCAAATCTAATACCACTTAGTTAGCTATATAATGTATAAGTCAAAATAAAGATACTCCCACAATAATCATATTGTAGTGCTTTTAAACTAATAGTATATTTATACAAAACTTTTTAAAACAAAGCAAAATAAGTTTGCAAAATCGTAGCATTCATATAAATATAGAAAGAAAATTATGGATGATTCCTTGTTTCTCCTATTGATTAACAAACTTGTTTCTCTTGGGGGCACTATAGTCATTTTAGGGGTATGCTGTCATATGATGTGTACAAGGATGCTTGCCAACTGTTTCCACGTGGGGTGATTTGGTGGACGACCTTGACGGAGGTAACTAGCAGAAATAGCTAACTCTTCTTCCTCCATTCTCTCACCTCCATTAGCAAAAATTAAAAACCTTTAATGGAGAAATAGAAATGCACGAACAAGGTTCAATGGAGAAGGAAGACAAACCTTTCCCTGAAGGGTTAACCATGCCCTAATTTCTCTAATTTTTCTAGGATTTGCCGCCGAAAAGGTGAAAGAGGTTTAAGAAGATAGGGGACAGCGAGATACCAGGTAATTTATTACTTGGGAGAAGAACAATTTATTTGAGAAAAGAAAGACAGAGGGAAAAGAAAAAAAAAAAAAAAAAAAAAAAACGACGACAAAGATAGGTCTCCGCAGATTAAAATCTTGCGAGGTCGGTACTCGGTAGTAATCGAATGAGTAACTGATATAATATTTTTTTCCATTTTGTAGTTTGAGCAGGATGATGGAAAACATTCCAATGGTGTTCTTACCTTCAAGAAAGAAAATTGCATATTGATTGAAAATGAAGGATGACAGAAGGATGAAAATAGGGGTATATATACCTTCACAAGGTTCAATGAATCAGTCTTAGAAGTAAAAATTTAGCAACTGAAGCGTTGTAACAGATGGAATTGTATAGCTAATTATTCATGACACATATTGATTACCAATATTGAAGAATAATAGTGACGGTAGAAGGCTGGAGAAATGCTTCAGTTCCTCTCTTTTTCTTTTTTTTTTTTAAACATAAAAGAAATAATAAAATCAGTTTATATATATATATATATATATATATATATATATATATATAATATATATATATATATATATATATATATATATATATATATATATATTATATATATATATATACGGGGAGGTTCCGCTAAAAACAGGGCTTATGGTGAAAACTAAAAACAGAAAATCTCAACCATCCATTATTACTAACAAGATCTAACGGTTTAAAAAAAATAAAATAACATAGAGTCACTATATATAAAAATAACGTAACTATATACAAAAATAGGGTAACTATATCAATTTTTACAACATTTGTCACTATATACAAAAATAGGGTAACTATATCAATTTTGATCCTATTAATAGAAGTCACTATATACAAAAAAAGGGTAACTATATCAATTTTGACCATATTTACATAGAAGTCACTATATACAAAAATAGGGTAACTATAACAATTTTTACAACATTTACATTAAGGTCACTATATACAAAAATAAAGTAACTATATCTGAGTTTTTGACACCATTTACATAAAGGTCACTATATACAAAAATAAAGGTCACTATATATAAAAATAAGGTGATTGAACCAAAATTTACAACATTTCCATAAATCTAAGGTCATTATATCGAAAATAAGGTAACTATATATAAATTTCGGGTAATTATATATATCAATTTGACACCATTTACCCAGAGGTCAATAAATATAAAAATAAGTATTAAAAAAGTCTATGTAGGATTCGAACCTACATCCCGTGATTACACGGTGCTCGACCAATTGAGCTAATAGGCTTTCAACATGCCAAAAACGTAGAGGCTTAAAACCAACACATATTTTAGATTCATAAACATATTCACCAAAGTCAAGTACCTTTACAAATTAACTCCTCCCTGGTTTTCATGACACAGGCCCTAAGATTATAGGATCTCCGGAGAAATATTGTCATCATGTATACTCAGATTACCTATGGCAGCCTTGACACTCAACGAAGAAGGAAACACCTAAGCAGAACAACTTCAGATCAGCTAAACTAAATTTCAAAAGAACGAAAGCAACAAACACAGTATAATTAAATATCAAAGTAAGAGGTAATATCAGGTGAAGCTCAACATCAGTAAGAAGATTATCTTGCGACAAAGTGGTGAGCTGAGTTTTATCCTCCATCACAAGAACTATTTGTGTACATGCCATATTCAAGACCAAGCTCAAAATTACTCTAAACTACCCCCTTCTTAAGAGACCTTTGGAAAACAGACAGTGCAACAGAAGTTGATGGATCAACACCGTCAACAGGAATTTCATGTTGATGAGTGTATTGATTTACTGTCACTGACAGTTTCATATCTTGCTTCTTCAACATTTGATACCACACATAAAATCCATAACAGCATGTAGGCCTATCGACAGAAAATGATATGGTGCTAAGTGTCACCAACGCCTGCAGCAACCTCAAGAAAGTCAGAGTGGACATCATGAACCAATTAGACTCAGCTGCCAAGCACAGGGATAGTAACTCACCATCCTATTAGTTTTACAGTAGAAAGGGAAGTTTTCAGTTGTAAATTGAAGAGTTTTCAAGCAGATCACATACCCTTCCAAAGTTGTGGGTCTAAAAGCAGACACTTCAGGGTTCATACAGTCACTTTCAGGAAAAATCTCCGGAGCCTCATACAACTTGTCATTACCACTAGTAACTTGCTCTGGCATAATGACATTTGAAAGTTTCAAAGAACTTTTATAACATAAGTTAACAAAGCTTTCAATGCTAATCTGCTACTAAGCCTCGTATAACCTGAGCAACTTATTTTATAAGACACCGTTCTAGCTTTCAAGACCCAAATAATCTCATTTCTTTATAAATGCTACTTGTCTTGCACATGGTTTAGCGTTTTAGGTAAAATTTTGCTATATATTTTCACTTCCATTACAGTTTAAATTGGTTATACTATATTAATTTTGCCAATCAATTCTTTGCTACACAATATACTATTTCTCTATCTCCTCAATAATATTCCTTCCATTTTTCTAGGTTGTATTACCAACAGTTTTCAAGTTCCTCAAAAAACTATGCTTCACGAATTCAGATTATATCTGATCGTTACTCCAACAGTACAAAGGAGGTACCTGGTGATTTAAAATCAGATTTTTTAATATTACTCCAACGATACTCCTCCTTATGTCTGCTTTCCAGTTCCAGCACCAATTGATGAAAAATAAGCATTGAGAAACCCTAGCCCTTGCTCACTGCTGCGTGGCGCGATTCCGCCCGATTGATTAGCAATTCTAGCTCCATATCCCTCACAACCAAGGGTCTACATACACATCAATCAAAAAATCAAATTCAAATTGATTGAAACAACAAAATCATTCTTACGAATTTCTAGGTTAAAATCAATCATTTTAATCATTGAAACTGAAATTTTTCATTGATTTTGAATTGAATTTGCTTGATGATTTCAGTGATTTATAATGAATTGTAAACTGATTTATACAGATTAAAATCGAATTATAACAGTAAATTGGCGAAATATACAGAAATTTGAAGAAATTAAGGATGAAACTTACAGCATTGAAGAGAGAAGAGCGAGAAGATCTGGAGATAGAACGTCCGATTCGAGAAAGCATCATCTTGACGATAACGAAGAGATGATCTGAAGATGAATGCAGAGAAATTTTAGAGAGAAGATGCGTGAATGAGAAAGAAGTAAGGGAGTGTATGTCTAATACACGAAATTAATCTCCTCCGTCAGATTAGAATTAATGGTCTAGATTGCTTGTTTTTAGTTTTCAGCCTTAGACTTGTTTTTACATGATCCATTCCCTATATATATATATATATATATATATATATATTATATATATATATATATATATATATATTAGACTTAAAAACATGTAAAAGATAATAGAAATAAAATCAACTTTGGAAATAAATTCAAAGGCAAAGATAATAGTACTATCGATAGTACTTATTATATCGTATGAAATATCTTGTTTTGAACCTAAAATAATAGTTTAAATTTTTCTTAAAATAATAATATATAAGAAAAAAAATACGGGGTATTACATACGGTGGGTTCAACACCACGATTTTATGCAAGCGTAGCATGAGAGCGCAAACACCAAGTCTTTGAGCTAGTCATTCCTTGCCCTGTGAGCTATTCGTGAGCTTCCACCTTGCACTTTGAGCCTCTTCCAACTCGAAAAATCATCGTGACGGGTCTCGAGCTTCGCCTTAAACCTACAAATAAAGGAAAAGAACAAATAAAAGGGAAAAACTCGAGAAAAACCACAAAAGTGGACGAAAACACAAATAAACAAGAATAAGGAAACTACAGAGCAAAAGAATAAAACCAAGCAGTTGTTAAGAAAAAAAGATATAAAAAGAAGGTAAAAACATCTTATAAACTCATCAAATCAGAGGTAGAAAAGAAACTCTCATAAAATCGGTGATCCAAGCAAAACCTAACCTATATTATGATATATTATGAGTGTCCACAAAATCCACTTAGCATCATAGAGGAGATTAAGGCCATGACGGCTCGGTATTTTAGGGGCCACACGAAAGCTAAGAAGAAAGTGCATTGGATCAAATGGGACACTCTTTGCTCGCCCAAATGCTTGGCAGACAAGCGTGGCGCCTCATATCTCTGCCAGATTCCTTGATGAGCAGGGTTCTCAAAATGAAATACTACCCAAATGGTGATTTTTTCAGTTCAAGGTGGGCAATGTTACTAGCCACTCTTGGTGTAGTATCTAGGGATCAAAATATCTTCTGCATGATGGTTTGATTTGGAGAGTAGGCAGTGGTTGCAACATAAATAATTGGGGACGATGTTTGGGTGGCGGATGAGCTCATCGACTTTGATAAAACGGAGTGGAATTTTGAGCTAATTAGCTCTATTTTTGAGGAAAGAGACATCAACTGCATCCTCACAATCCCCTTGAGTACTAGGCTACCCAAGGACTGCCTTACCTGGGCATTCTCCAATAATGGTCTGTACACTGCCAAGACAGCCTACATGATTGGGAAAGGATGTAATTTTGATTCATTCCACAAAGCATGGGTCCACCTCTGGAAGCTGGAGACAACACCATAGGTGAGACACATGCTCTGGCACGCCTGTACCCACTCCCTACCTGTTCGAGCTCTTTTAAAAAGAAGGCACGTGTCTGAGATTGATAGCTACCCAGTTGAAATTATGATGAGAGAAGGGAAAGAATTACAAAACTAACTTGTATTTTTATTCAATTAAAACTAACTACAATAAAAGCCCTTATATAGGCTTAACAAACAAAGGTATAGCTAAGAATGCATGACCCATATTCCCACGTCTAACTGTAATAATGCACAACTAAGTAACCCACTAACTCCACATATTCAGCAAAATACTTAACAACCTAACAAAACATGTTCCTATCCTAAATTATAGGAACTACTTTGAATCAATCCAACATTCCCCCTTGATTCAAAGTCTCATACACTCCACTAAACTTTGCTATTGACTTCAACATTCCACATTGCAATGGACTTCTTCAACTTGAACTACTTGACATATTTTGATCTCAACACGAACACTTAACCGCACACTCGACTTTGGAAGAGCTTGCAATCTTCCTGTTCAAATTTCATAACATCTTGCTAGACGTTTTAATTTGTGATGCACATCTCATCTCCTACACATAATTTGTTGATGCACATTATCACCAACATGATACTCTCGGAGCACTTCTCTCCGCACAATCAAACCTCGACATTTTTTGTTGATGCACTTCTCATCAACTACTTGATCTTGTTGATGAATATTTTCACCAACTTACATTCAATGGAGCACATCTCTCCATTAACTCTCTTTGACATTGTCCTTCAATTGACCATGTCAATTTGCTTGTACCAAAAATCTTTGGAATTATCTTGGAAACCGTTTCTGCGTTGATTACGACTTCCACACTCGTAAAGATTATGCGATCTTTACCTCAAACAATGTTTCTCCCTCTTTTTCACAAGATTAAAATCCATTTCATGGGCTAAAAGGGAACTCATCAACATACCAAACCAACCATTACTTCCATGGTTAAACACAAAAACACTCACAAAAAAAATCACTCAAAAAAAAGAAGATATTTCTCATAAACAATGAAATCAAGCTGCATTTCTTGTTTCTCTTACTCTTTTTTTTTTATAATAATACTCTCTTTTTCTCTTTCTCCCTCGCTTTTTTTTTTGGGGGCTTTATCTTTTTCCGTTCTCTTTTCCCGGATCTAACCTGGCTCTGATACCAAGTTGAAATTATAATGAGAGAAGGAAAGATCTAACCTGAAGCTTATGATACCATATTGAAAAAATAAGTGGAGATGAGAGAAAGGAAAGAATAAATAAAGTTGTACTCAATCCATTGAAAAATGTACTACATAGCAATATATATATAGTGCAAAATATCTAAGCTAAGTAAGGAACATGATCCCATGATCATTGATCATGCGAACATTAACCCACTAAACTAACCCACTACTATTATGACTCCACTAACACAAACTAATACTTAGTAGAGCATATTCCTATACATTAGGAGTTAACTAACCACTAACAATTTGAAGCAAATATTCCAACATACCCATGGTGCCTTTCTGAACCTGAAACCATCAGCCACACGTTATTCAACTGTATGGCGGTTCGGGACCTCTGGGTGGAAGACAATTGTGAAAAGCTAACTGAATTTGACCTCAATGATGACTTCAAAGACATCTTTGAAGCTTGGAGCGGACTGGATGTAAAATTGCAAAAAAAAAAAAAAGGTGCTACACATATCTGGCGAATCTGGTCAAGATGAAATGACAAGGTATTCAATAACACTGATACTCCCCATTCCATGATCATTTCTAGAATGCACAAACTTGTTGAAGATTATGACAGCTATGCAACTAAAATCTATGGTGTTAAAAAACCTGCTGCTACTGTCAGCCTGTCAGTGTGGATAGCCCCCCCTCAAGGATGTGTAAAGATCAACTGTGATGCAGCTCTTAATAATAATGGTTGGATTGGTCTTGGTGCGGTTGCTCGTGACCACCTTGGTGAGATTCTTTTTGCTAATTCGCGGAGGGTCAGGGGAAGATGGTCTCCAATAATAGCTGAATGTGATGCCTTGCTGCTTCCTGCTCATCTTGCCAAAACCCATGGAATCAGGGAGGCCATTCTGGAGTCTGATTTCAAGATTATCTAGTAGAAACACCTATCTCTCTGAGCTGGATAATCTGCTTGAAGATGTTTTCGATATTTGTTCTTGATTTTCTTTCATTAAATGGTCTCATGGAAAAAGGGACGAGAATGCCGTAGCCCATCATTTATCTCGTATTATTCCCTTTGGGGTTAGAATAAGTATGGGTTAAACATTGCCCTAAGGATGTATCCCCGTATGTCCCTTAATTAGTGAAAGCTTGATAGCTCCTCAAAAAAAAAAAAAAAAAAAAAAAAAAAAAGAAGAAGAAGAAGAAAAAAAGAAAGGTATTATTAGGTTTAGCCGTGAAAAAGATACTATAGTATTTAAGATATATTAAGATTAAGTAAGATTATAAAAATTGAATGAAAGAATAGGTGGGCAATTTTTTAATCATGTAAGTACACATCATGTCATTTGAGATCCACTAATGAGATCCACCTTTAGAATAGATTTATCGATGAAAAGTTGAGACACATCTTATGTCTTTATTATTGAGAAGAAAGCACTACTTGATACACACACATACTATATCCACATAATTTTCACCTTTTCCTTATAAAAATGACAATCGCGTTCTAAATTAATAATGTGAGAACTAATTAAATCAAGATAATTTGTAGTGCATATGATTTCAATCAATCTCACATTGATTCAAATCATGCTTTGCTAAATCGTCTTCCTCTTTGCTAATATGAACGTAACGCCTTAACAGATTCATCTTCTCCAAAATTTGGCCAAAGTGTATCAGTGAAGTACATCTCACTATAATTTGATTGCCAAAGATAGTAATTACTTATACGTAATTGGCTATTTGTTCGAATAAGCAAATCAGGCAATGGCATGGCAATGACATTAGTTTGAAGATGTTTCTCAAACAAATATTTAGTTATATCTTCAGGTTGAAGAAGGCCATCCTTCACTTTGGTAGCAATGATTTGACAAGCATGTACTATATCATTTTGGCCACTGTAACTCATTGCTAAGACAAGATGAATCCCTTTGTAGTCTTTTGTTTCTTTTTCAATTTTTTCAACTACTTTTTTTTAAAGAATCGGGGAGTGGAGATCTATCTCCAATCACTGAAACTAGTCCTCATATCTTTTTATTATTTTATTATGTAAGTACGAGCAAGATCAAACTTATAATTTGTTTCACATTTGATGTTATCATCTACTTTTTTTTTTTTAAGAAATAAATTAAAAAAATTACCCATTAAAAATCTGAAGATGCTGTAATCTCTAATTCTAACACTGTATGCATGCCTTACCACCAAAATATGTCATACTTTTGTATTTTCTTTGGAAAACATTAATATGTAGCGATTAATGATATGAATAAAAAATTTAATCTAGAGAATATGGAGTTAAAAATTAAATTTACACCATTGGTTAATCTCATGTCATGACTCGACCCAAATACTAGTTTATTGTAATTAAAAAAATTTACGGTTAAAGGTTCATTTGGTTTCGCTGGGAATTTTTGTTTATTGGTTTTCTTTTTTCAAAATCATATGATATATGTCATATAATGAATCAAAAATTGGTCAAACTTATTAAACTCATGATCACTTCACCTTATTTTTACTAAACTAAAATTATTTTGTTGAATATAAAAGGTTTTTACTAAAGCTGAAATTAATTTTACTCAACTGATATTATTTTGACCTCAAATTATTTTTACTGATTTTATTTTATATTCTTTAAAGTTACTAATTTATACTGAATTGAAATTATTTGTACTGACTGAGACCCCGTTTGGTTTGATGTAAAATGTTTTTAAGGAAAATGATTTCCCATTTTCCATTGTTTGGTTTGTGAAGGGGTGGAAAACAATTTATCCAATGATGGAAAATTGCATCCTTAATTATGGATGGAAGGTGTTAAATATCGCCTTCCAAATTTATCAAAATCGCCATCGTTTCACGCAAAGGGTTATTATTGCCCTTACTAAACCCTAACCCATTTTTTATCCCCTTTTTTCTCTATCATCAAAGACCCAACCACCAACCTCTTTCCACACAACCACCACAACCAGTCAACCACATAGTAAAGGTTACCGGCTGCAGTTGGTGGTGGCGACAGCGCGGAAGTAGGCGGTTGGTCAGGCAGAGGTCAACCGGAGCCGAAAACCAGTTACTGCGGACGGTACCAGTTTTGAGTTTTGACCGCTGTTAATCGTACTCGGTACCCAATTTTTGGCTCCGATTGACCATGGTAACCGGAGGTCAAAATAGGTTACGGTGGACGGTAACCGAAGGTCAAAATTGGTTACCGTGGACGGTAACAGGTTTTCAGCTCCGATTGTCCAAGGTAACTAGAGCCCAAAACCGGTACGGTTATCGCGACGGTTTATCAGTTTTTGGTTCCGGTTGATCGTCGTCAAACGGCGGTTTCAATTCTCCGGCCAATCTAACCACTATAAACCACTGGAAAATAAGTCGTACCTGCTGAAAAGCCGACGGCGGCGTTCTCTTCGTTTTTCGACTTGCCACCCCGATCACCATCCATTTCTCGTCGACTTTCGCGGTCGTGGTGGCAGTCCGATGTAGATGGGTTGACACGGTGGTTGTGGGTTAGTTGTGGTGGTTGATGTGGTGGCGTGGATTGTACCAGTGTCTTGATTGGTGGTGGTTGACTTGGTTGTGGTGGATGGACTAATGTTAGAGAAAGAAAATGGAAAAAAAATTTAGTAGGGGCAAGGATGTATCTTTGCTTGAAATTATGGCGGTTTGATGATTTTTATGGCGGTATTAAGAATTTCACTTATGGAAAACAGTTTCCTTTACTAAATAAGGGAAGCTACGTTTTCCTCCCTCCTCCTAATCTCCTTATTACTTCCTTCTTATTCAACCTCACATTCCCATTTTTTTTTAGTGAATCGCTAAACCACGCTCCCCTTTTACCAGGTAACACTCTCTTTTTAACTTGCCCTCCTTATAAAATAGTCCCATATGGTCCATTTTCACTTTTAATTTCATTATTCAATTCCCATATACTTTGCCACATGCAATTGTACCTCCCTGACCCCATCACAAACACGTCATAATTCAAAATATTTTAAAAAATTTTGTAATATAATACGTCATATGAAGTTGCTTATTTTAAGAAACACCATGAAATTTTGGAACTCCAAGGGGAAACGCCTGGAATTTCCGAATCCCCTTGAAAGATCCGAGAATTTCAGGCGTTTCCCCTTTGGAGTTCCAAAATTTCCAGGCGTTTCGCCTGTTTAAAATTTTTTTCGTGAATTTATGTTTTCATATTATTATTATTTTCTTAAGAAACGCCTGGAAATTTTGGAACTTCAAGGGGGAAACGCTTGGAATTTCCAGATCCCCTTAGAAGATCTGAAAATTCCAAGCAAATTTCTAGGCGTTTTGCCTGTTTAAACTTTTTTTCGTGAATTTATGTTTTCCTATTATTATTATTATTATTATTATTATTATTATTATTATTATTATTATTATTATTATTATTATTATTATTATTATTAGTGGTTGTTAGTGAAGATCTAGTGGTGTGTGGATGTATTCTAGTTTTTTTTTTTTAAAAAAAAAAAATCTGAATTTTTTTTATTTTAGAAGAGAAAAGTGTGTAAATGTTAATGTTTTTGTCAAAGTAGTGATGAAAGAGTGAAGTAAAAAGTGAATGATGGAAGGAGATTGGTATAATTTATAAGAAGGGTAAACAGGTCCATTCAAAATAAAATGGGAGCGTTACCTGGTAAAAGGGGAGCGTTGTTTAGTACAACCCTTTTTTTATTTTTTTATTTTTTAAGTTTTTAATTTTTAATTTATATTCTCTTGAACTTTACTTGTATGCAATCAAACAAGGTGAACTAATCTGCAATTGTAATTTTCCCTGAAAATATGTTTTCCATAAAAACTAGTTTTTCATTAAAAATGTATTACACCAAATAAACCAAACGAGACCTGAAATTACTTTTAATGAACAAAATGTATTTTTACAGAATATTTTTATTTAAGGTGAAGTGAACATGACCTATATTAAATCAAGTAATGTTATTCATTAAAGTTCTTAGTATTTATTTGATTTCCCATATTCTATCTTAACATATTCCATCCTGCCACATACACACACATAATTTATTTTACCTATCTAGTTTTGTCCCTATTAGAATTGGACATGTTATGCTTGAACCTAGGTAGTGTCTAAACCACACCCGACCTGATCCGAAATCAATTTGAAAAATCCGATTCAGATTTCGACTCTTGTAGGCACAATAATTTAGCATGACTCAACTTTAAAAATTGATCCGACCTGACCCGACCTCACCAAACCCGATCCGATCATCCAAATTGACACCTCTACTTGAACCTAGAAGCCTAAGCTAGAACTATAAAATCAATTTGGCCCGAGTACAATTAGAAAATGTTCGAAATAACCAACAAAAATTCCGATTCTACATTTGATCCACATAAACATATAGACCTTGCATGATCTAAATTTATATGACCCTACCTGAAAAAAATTGTCCGAAAAAAGTGGAATGTTAAGTGTTACGATGTGTCTTTAATTAATAACTATAATGATTGGTTGTCGATTACGTGGCGCATACTTGGTAAAAAGTTGGAATGTCAAGTGTTATTCTCTAGTAGCTTGGATAATTGCACGACTTTATATATTAGTCAATAGTTGTGTCCAGACAATGTCCCAAATTGTTGATAAAAATTTAGTCTTTTAGGATAAACCTTTTGACTTGAATTTTAAATTTTATCACATACATAGTATTGATATATAACCCCTTTTGATAATACACCTCTCTGTTTTGCTGAGTGTTACTCAGTTACTATAGTTAACCAAATCAACGAAAAGTAAAAATGAGAACTATACATGTGGTGCTTTTGTATTAAAGGAGAGAAAGATAGAGAGTAAGAGATTATTTCCTCCGTCCAAAAAAATATAATTGACACCCTTGATTTTTTTTATGAACTTGGACCATCTTTTATTGATATTATATAAAATAAAATATTAATAAATAAGTTTTTGTTGGATTTATCTTAATGGATTATTGGAATATCAAGTTTCTACTAAAATTTTATTTTATATTAGAACAATAAATTAAAGATGGTCAAAGTTGGTAAAAAAAAAATCAATTGTGTCAACTATTATAGGATGGAGGATGTACTAATTGGGTCTACAAAGTGGGGTTGTGGACTTGTGGATGATAAAAATTGTCATAAAAGGAATAAACCAAAAGTGAGTAAAACATAAAAAGACGGTTAAAAACAAAGTGAGTTAAAATAGATGGAGTAAGATATTAAGACATACGATATCATTGATTTATATAATACTCCTTCCGTATTTTATTACTTGCTCCATTTGTACCTTTTGCACTATTCATTTGACCTACTTTGGCTAATGTTTGTGATTTATACATAAGAAAAAATTATAGTCTTGTGGGTACTTGTTGGAATCGTCTTAATAAATAGATTATTAATTTATTTTCAATTGTTATAATTTCTACTATTGCAAATTTAAAATATTACTGATCAAAGAATTACATCGGCATACACGTGTCCAGAAGAAATGGAGCAAGTAATAAAATACGGAGAGAGTAGCGTACTTTTTGTAGTTTTATTAGACATATATGTTAGTTTACTTTACTTTGTTACTCAAGAAATATGTTATTCAAGAATAAATGAATGTAAAATGATCACTTGATAGTAATAACACATTATAACAATCATATTAGATTGTGATTAATTATTAATAAATTAAAATATATCCTTATGGCTCTATTCTTTTTATCATCTTATTTATTTAAACCAAAATTTAAATTTCGTAAACTTAAATACATTACAAGAAATAAGCTGATTTCCGACGGAATTTATTCGTCGGAAATATCCACAATTCCGTCAGAAATAGGTGTTTTCGACGGAATTCCATCAAAAAGGGGTTGTCGTAAACACTTTTATCGGAAATAACGAAGTTTCCGACGGATTTCCGTCAAAACA